CTGATAGCAAAATCTCAAAGCCTTAAGCAACAAGCATGTTGCCCTTAACCAATGACAAAAAAAAAGAGTACGTTGCCAAAACCTGCATGAGGTTTAAACCTGTGAAAACCTGTATCTCAACTGTAAATCAATGGCTATTTCGTGGACTACAACATGAAAGAAAGCCATCATAACAACGTATGACCAAAACAATGTTTGCTTCTACCACTAGAGGTACCACTAGAAGTTACGTATAAGCTTTAAACTGTGAATGAAATGTTTTTCTAACCCTTTTTGTCAAGTGATTCTGTGTGATTTTTCCATTGCAGACAGTGAGAGAAGCTGCTGAGACCTGCAAGAAACTAAAGATCCCTTTCCCTGAAGTCAACATTCCCAGTGAAGATGTGAAGAAACCGAACGACTTCTATGTGTTCAAAGGCAAAAACGCTCCAACCGTGATTCACATCCCTCTGTTTAATGTGGTCAACTGTGGAGGCAAGTTAAGGTTGTCTAGTTGAATAAAACTGAGAAAAAAAACCCTGTTCTGATTTAAGTGTGTTACTGTTTCTTCAGATGATATTGACACCTGGAGGTACAAATATGGCACGTTCAGTTCTTCCTACAGCGCTGAGATGATCACTAAGCTAATGGAGGTCGCCGGAAAAAACATCTCAAACAACAGAGCCAAACTGTTGAAGCAGATTCATGCGGCCATCGGGCAAAAGCATAACAAACAACACTGTGACTAAACTCAGTGTCTAAGGAGAATCTAAATATAGACTAAACTGATTTGCATATCAGTAATTTTACAATACATGTACAATTTATTTTTTGTCCTAAAAATCACTTAAGAAAAATCAGCATTATTGAGTTTTTGCTAAATGTGATCTGTGGCAGCATAAGAGCATCAGAGGTTAGTCGTGTTTGCATTTTATTTCTGTTTAATGTTCAAAATGTTTTTGCTGTTTCAGTCCGTTTCTTAACTTTCTTTTAAAGCAATAAATAGCATCATTAATAATAATCAGCAAGCAATGGACTGAAACCATGATTGCTTATTAAAACATTGTGTTAGCTACTTTTTTTATTCCAGTGAATTATTAAACTTCTCAAAATAAAAGAAAAGAAAAAAAAGAAAAGTGTCCATGGTCATTTGATATCAAACCTCATAAACACTAATTAAAACTGATAATAAAAGTTTATATAAATTTTATTTATTTAGACTAAACTCAGTGTCTAAGGAGAATCTAAATACAGACTAAACTGATTTGCATATCAGTCATTTTACAATACATGTACAATTTATTTTTTGTCCTAATAATCACTTAAGAAAAATTATTAGCATTATTGAGTTTTGTTAAATGTGATCTGTGTGGCAGCATAAGAGCATCAGAGGTTAGTCGTGTTTGCATTTTATTTCTGTTTAATGTTCAAAATGTTTTTGCTGTTTCAGTCCGTTTCTTAACTTTCTTTTAAAGCAATAAATAGCATCATTAATAATAATCAGCAAGCAATGGACTGAAACCATGATTGCTTATTAAAACATTGTGTTAGCTACTTTTTTTATTCCAGTGAATTATTAAACTTCTCAAAATAAAAGAAAAGAAAAAAAAGAAAAGTGTCCATGGTCATTTGATATCAAACATCATAAACACTAATTAAAACTGATAATAAAAGTTTATATAAATGTTATTTATTTTCAAAATGTTTTTGCTGTTTCAGTCCGTTTCTTAACTTTCTTTTAAAGCAATAAATAGCATCATTAATAATAATCAGCAAGCAATGGACTGAAACCATGATTGCTTATTTTGCTTATTAGTTAGCTACTTTTTTTATTCCAATGAATTATTAAACTTCTCAAAATAAAAGAAAAGAAAAAAAAGAAAAGTGTCCATGGTCATTTGATATCAAACCTCATAAACACTAATTAAAACTGATAATAAAAGTTTATATAAATTTTATTTATTTATTTTGTGTAGTATTTTAGACATATAATGTTTGAAATGGATGGTCTTATTAATTTCACAAGGGCAAGAAATATAACAATATTCAATTAGAAACTTTGGAAGCACACACACACACACACATACATATACATACTGTATATATATATATATATATATATATATATGTAGTCTACATATAACAGACATTTTACAAATTATATATATATGTATATATAACAAATAACTCTTATGAACTTAATATTCTTTTTAATCAAAAACACAGAATAGGATGTCTGATATCTTAAACATTTATATTTCATGATATTCGAAACATTTATTAAATAGAACATCTGTAGTGGCAAAATTCAAAACTAACATTGTATGTTTTCATTGTAATTTTTGTGTTTTATTTGATCAATTTCACAAAATTATAGCTTGATGAAAATTACACACAATAAAAATATTGTTCACAAGTGAGATTCACCTTTAATGTTCTCTTAAGGCATTACCTGAAAATAAAGAATTATGCCAAACCCTGGCATGCCATAAATGATATTGTATGCAATCATGGATATCTTTAATTTTACATATGCAAGCTACTTCCTTATGAAACAATATACCACATGTGCATGAAGGCTGTCCCCTTTTTTCATTGAAAAGAGCCTTACATAAACATGTTCAATGCCACACAAGGTGAACATAATTAAAGGAAATATCACACTTTTCCTGGTTTCAGTGAGCCATTTATCATTCACAACCTCACCCTCATGATTATGTCTAGACATGCAGTGTAGTTTCCGAGCCCTATACAAGAGCCTCTTCAGGCTGAATGTCAGATAAAGGCCGCTGTGTTGTTATTGGTGTGGTGTTGAAGACTCACGATTTACAGAAAAAGTAAGTATATGTTTTAAAACTTTATGCAAATAACGTCAGGGCAATTTAAATGTTTCATGTCATAAATAGCATGCAATAACCTTATAATGAATGAATACAGCATTTTCAGTAATTAGCTTTAAAACCAATTTTAAGTGGCATGCAACCAAAAGTGCATAAAAATGAACAATAATGATGAAACATGATTTGAGGGATTCATATTTCAGTGTGACAAAGTTTTACATTTTTTATGCATTACAATCTTTACAATGTTATTGAAATATACTATGAATAATTGTATGTTTGAAACATACTTCTGATATTTTGATTCAATAATAGAACATTTAGCATGATCATGTTTTTCACATTATTTAAATGTTGAATTGTTCAAAGGTGTTTAATTTTTAAGCTGGAACACATATTTCACACATACTTTCTACTTTATTTACATTTCCCTGTTAGACAATAGGTTTGCATTTACTTTGACGCAAATGATTTGAGGGATTCATATTTCAGTATGACAAAGTTTTACATTTTTTATGCATCACAATCTTTACAATGTTATTGAAATATACTATAAATAATTGTATGTTTGAAACATACTTCTGATATTTTGATTCAATAATAGAACATTTAGCATGATCATGTTTTTCACATTATTTAAATGTTGAATTGTTCAAAGGTGTTTAATTTTTAAGCTGGAACACATATTTCACACATACTTTCTACTTTATTTACATTTCCCTGTTAGACAATAGGTTTGCATTTACTTTGACGCATGCATAATGTTAATGTTTTTCACATGTTTCTTTGGTTTATCATAATTCTCTGAAAACTATCTTAAAATATCTTCAAAATGATTAATCTTAAATAATAGAAATTGACTTGACTCACTCTCTTGTTTTAGGGATGGGTGCATCTAAACCCCAGGAAAGGTACGTAATCCTGCTCAGATTCCTAAAATCACGGAAGCAGTAAAATAACACAATTAACAAACTGCTATATTCTGGGAATAACTGCACAAGATAAACTTCAGATTTAATAGCATTGAAATCTAGAATATTGGATATCTAAATATATGAAATAAGTCATGTTCAGGTCAGCACTGATCTGTCTGTCTGTCTGTCTGTCTGTGTGGCCTCCTCAGCGGTAAGGTGAGAATCAAACCCTTTCTGAATAGGAACGAGCAGGAGTTTGTAGCCAGAAGGAGAAACGCTCTTCAACAAAGCCCGAAGAAGCTTCGGATTCAATGCAGTCGGGTAAAACATCATATGCTACACTTCATATTTCCAACTGCTTATATTGAAATGACCTACAAATGATGTGTTGGGCGATGAAAATCAGCTGTTAAGAATAAATTTCACTCTCTTCATTGTGAAAAATGATGCCGTTCCCAGGTAGCAAGCATTGATGTGTTCTTACAAAATGTTAAACACAATGACTCACTATTTCAAATAGCTCAGCATAATCAAAATCAAAAAAAAATTTGTATCATTACATTCGGTTATTTTATCTAAAATCTATTAATGCTTAAATAACTTTCACAGTTTCTGCAACAAACATTTGTAAATGGAAAGTGGCCCTTCAGGAGCAGGACTGGACACGCCTGAGTTATTGTAATAATTAAGTTAGTCACACAATGTAACTGGAATGGGGACAGAAGCTTATTAACTATCTCAGCTCATTTTCCATTAAAGGGGTCATATTGTTCCTTTCTCTTTGGAGTGTTACAAGCTCTTGGTGCATAAAGAAGATCTGTAAAGTTGCAAAGACTAAAATCTCAAATCCAAAGAGATATTCTTTATAAAAGTTAAGAGTCAGCCAGGCCTACCTAAAACGGCTCGTTCTAACACGCCCCCACATATCTACCTCACTATGTGGAAATATTAGCATAATGCGCCCAAATGTGCACGCAAAGAAAGAAGGCGTGGTTTCAGTAACAGCAGTAGTGTTGATGCAGCATGTCAGGGAGACGCTGTGTGTTTTTCACAATAGGTCTCCGCACCATTTCAATGTCGTTATCACAGGACATTAAGATATTTTAGGTCTAAAAAATAAAACATTAAGATTAGATTCTTACCTTAAGCTATACTATCACAGTTTCCGTGAATGGCGTAGTATCATATTTTTTAATTTCATGATTTCGCGACACGAGAAAATGCAGGTTACGGTACTCGACAAAGGTCAAAATAAATGAGAAGAAGCGTTGTGAAAAATAAAAATATACCGCAATAACAGACACTTTATCTGAACAGAAGAGGAATGCTGAGGAGGTTATAAAAACACACATATGTGTTCCATTAATCGATTCACTTGAGTTTCCCAAACCTCCTCGGAGAAAACATGTCCCATCCAAACAAGATATTTGTTACGGGGCGAAAGAGACGTGAGACGTGCGGATCCATCTGCAAAGCTTTTATTTAAAGGCGTGGTCATAAAAACAGGCAAGGTTCTGACAATGGCAAACAGGTATATTGAGGGCAAGACAAAAGAGGAATCCAAAACAAGCAATAATCCAATCGAGGTGCAAACACAGTCCAAATCAGCAAGGCAAACGGTAAATCCGAGACAGGCAATAAACTTCAGGGAAGGCAGAAATCAGACAGGACGAGATAACAGGCTAGAACAGTGTTTCTCAACCCCGGTCCTGGGCGCCCCCCAACACTGCACATTTTGTGTGTCTCCCTAATCAAACACACCTGATTCAACTCATTAGCTCATTAGAAGAAACTCCAGGACCTGAAATGGGTGTGTCAGATAAGGGAGACATACAAAATGAGCAGTGTTGGGGGGCGCCCAGGACCAGGGTTGAGAAACACTGGGCTAGGATCAAGACACGGGAAAACAGACTATGAACAAGGCTAGACTCATGAACTTGGAAGGGCTCCATAAAGTAGCTATCCCTAGGTGAGCGATAAATGCTAAACAATACT